ACTGACTTGTTTCGGCTTGTACTTGTTTTTTTTGATAAAACCGAACTAACTTGTTTCGGCTTGTACTTGTTCTCTTGATAAAACCGAACTGATATGCTTCGGCCTGTAGACCTTTTTTGATAAAACCGAACTGATAGGCTTCGGTTTATACACCTTTTTTGATAAAACCGAACTGATATGCTTCGGTTTATACACCTTTTTTGATAAAACCGAACTGACTTGTTTCGGCTTGTACTTGTTTTTTGATAAAACCGAACTAACTTGTTTCGGCTTGTACTTGTTTTTTTTGATAAAACCGAACTAACTTGTTTCGGCTTGTACTTGTTCTCTTGATAAAACCGAACTGATATGCTTCGGCCTGTAGACCTTTTTTGATAAAACCGAACTGATAGGCTTCGGTTTATACACCTTTTTTGATAAAACCGAACTGATATGCTTCGGTTTGCACATCCTTGGCCGAGTTGAACAACTCGGGAGGGAAGCCTGTTTTAAGACTTTAAGGCACATCCTTGGCCGAGTTGAACAACTCGGGAGGGAAGCCTGTTTTAAGACTTTTTAAGGCACATCCTTGGCCGAGTTGAACAACTCGGGAGGGAAGCCTGTTTTAAGACTTTTAAAGGCACATCCTTGGCCGAGTTGAACATCTCGGGAGGGAAGCCTGTTACGATAGTTTTTAAGGCACATCCTTGGCCGAGTTGAACAACTCGGGAGGGAAGCCTGTTACAATAGTTTTTGAGGCACATCCTTGGCCGAGTTGAACAACTCGGGAGGGAAGCCTGTTGCGTTGATTGAGTAGCGAAGAATCGTAAATTGAGCCATGAGAATAGAAGAACTGAATAGATTTCATTAACAGGTGCCTCATTAAAAACCTCATCGGCCAAAACCCCTTTTCACTTTTTTATAAGGGGAGAAAAGACCGATCAAGGAAAAGAGTACACCATCTATTTACACAAGATCTTGTTACAACATATACTAGCTATAATATGTCTTCAAATGAGATGCGTTCCAAGTTCTCGGAATGACCTTGCCCGAAAGTTCTTCCAATTTATATGCACCGTTTTCCAAGCTATGCCGGACCCGAAATGGGCCATCCCAATTAGCAGCCAACTTTCCTTCTTTCGGATTACGCCTCGCCGATCCTTGTGCTCTCCATACCAGATCGCCTTCTTTAAAACTTCTTCTGATAAGATTAGAATTAAATCTACGAGCCATCCTCTGTTTGCAAGCTTCAGCTGTGATTTCTACTCTGAGACGAACCTCGTCCACCATATCCACTTCCGCTCGGAGAGACATATCATTGGTATTTTCATCAAAATGTATTCTTCGAAAAGATGGTTCTCCGACCTCCACAGGTATCATGGCGTCGGTGCCGTATGTTAGCCGAAATGGTGTTTCTTTAGTCGTGGACTGAGGCGTGCATCGGTAAGCCCATAGAACCTCCAACAACTCTTCCGCCCAAGCTCCCTTAGCATTCCCCAACCGTTTCTTCAGTTCGCCTAGTATTACTTTGTTTGCTGCTTCGGCCTGCCCATTAGCTTGCGGGTGTTCAACCGAGGTAAACCTGTGCTTGATACCGAGATCCTGAATGAACCGATTAAGTTTCTGATCGGTGAACTATAAACCATTATCAGTAACAAGTGCATATGGGATGCCGAAGCGAGTAATGATGCTTTTCCATAAAATTTTTTGAACATTGGCAGCTGTGATACTGGCAAGTGGTTTGGCCTCGACCCATTTTGTGAAATAATCCACAGCTACCAATAGAAACTTGCACTGTCCTTTGGCGATCGGGAAGGGACCTAGAATGTCCATACCCCACATCGCGAATGGCCACGGTGAGCTTATGCCGTGAAGTTCTTCAGCCGAAGCATGAATGAGGTTTCCATGTTGTTGGCAAGATGTGCAATGTTTGACAAACTTCAAACAATCATCCCGGAGAGTAGGCCAATAGTATCCAGCGCGAAGCACCTTGGCAGCCAAAGTTCTTCCTCCCGAGTGAAAACCGCATATGCCTTCATGGATTTCTCTTAGAATATAATCAGCCTGTTCGGCCTCAACACACTTCAACAATGGGACCGAGAATCCTCTTCTGTATAGCTCTCCACCCACCATGGTATACCTAGCAGCCTGAGTCCGAAGCTTTCTAGCAGCCAATGAGTCAATCGGCACTCTTCCATGTTCAAGATAATCTACCATGTCAGTGATCCATGTCCAACTGGACCTCTCGGTTGCCAAACATTCGGTAATGACCATACTTGGAGCTTCAAGGTCTAAGTGTAGCGTGGTTCTCAGCTGGCCGGGTTTTCGAGTGCTACTTGCCAACCGAGCCAACTGATCTGCTCTTCCGTTACGCTCTCTGGGCGTGTGCTTTACTTGAACTTCTTCAAATGTGTCACGCATTCTTTGAAACAAGTGATAATATTTCAATAAGTTCGCATCTTTTACTTGAAAATTATTATTCACTTGCTCGGCTACAATTTTTGAATCTGTCCAGCATTCCAACCGGCTAACCCCAATTTCTCGGGCCAACCTTAACCCTGCCAGCAGTGCTTCATATTCAGCTTGGTTATTTGAGGCTTTAAACGCAAATCGTAACGACTGTTCAAGAACTAATCCTGTAGGTCCTTCTAAAATTATACCAGCTCCACTGCCTTGGTTATTAGAAGAACCATCCACATGCATCGTCCATAAATCATTCTCAAAACAGCCCTTTGGCTGTAATTCATTGACAAAATCTGCCAAATATTGAGACTTGATCGACCCTCGAGGCTCAAATACAATGTCAAACTCTGATAATTCAATCGACCAAGCCATCATTCTTCCTGCCAATTCTGGTTTGCGCAATACCTTAGATATCGGACAATTGGTTCGAACAACAACGTGGTGACTCTGAAAATACTGTCGGAGACGCCGAGCGGTATGGACAAGGCCTAGTGCCACCTTTTCCAAAAGTTGGTACCTCGTTTCAGCTTCTTGTAGCATTCGGCTAATAAAATAAATAGGTTGTTGTCCATCTTTTTCTTGAACTAGAACGGTACTTATTGCATCATTAGAAACACACAAGTAGATCAATCGACCAAGCCATCATTCTTCCTGCCAATTCTGGTTTGCGCAATACCTTAGATATCGGACAATTGGTTCGAACAACAACGTGGTGACTCTGAAAATACTGTCGGAGACGCCGAGCGGTATGGACAAGGCCTAGTGCCACCTTTTCCAAAAGTTGGTACCTCGTTTCAGCTTCTTGTAGCATTCGGCTAACAAAATAAATAGGTTGTTGTCCACCTTTTTCTTGAACTAAAACGGTACTTATCGCATCATTAGAGACACACAAATAGACCACAATCGGTAACTGCAAGTCGGGTTTTGACAGTATAGGCGGCGAACCAAGACGCTCCTTTAAAGTTCGAAAGGCCTCTTCACATTCGTCCGACCATTCAAACTTTTTTGATTTTCTCAGCAATGCCACAATAGGTTTGGTTATTTCGGCCAAACAAGGGAGGAATCGTAACAACGCTGTAAGCTGACCTGTTAACTGCTGGACCTGTTTGAGGCTTTGAGGACTTATCATGTTGATGATTGCCATACATTTGTCGGGATTAGCTTCAATACCCCTTGCCGACAGCATAAAGCCGAGGAACTTTCCCCCAGACACTCCAAACACGCACTTCTCCGGGTTGAGTCTCATATCATACTTGCGTAACTGCTGGAATGCCTCTGATAAGTCTAGCACATGCCGATCGACATTTATGGATTTAACAACCATATCATCTACGTACACCTCCATGTTCCTACCTATCTGGTGCTGAAAAACTTTGTTCATCAATCTCTGATATGTTGCCCCTGCGTTTTTCAACCCAAAAGGCATTACTTGATAACAGTAATTGGCCGAATCAGTGATGAAAGCTGTTTTTTCTTCATCTCGGGTATGCATGGGGATTTGGTTATACCCCGAATAAGCATCAAGAAAAGTTAAAATTCCATGACCCGAGGCGCCATCAACTAATCGATCTATGTTTGGGAGCGGATAGGCATCCTTAGGACATGCCTTATTGAGACTTGTGTAATCAGTGCACATTCTCCACTTCCCATTCGACTTTTTTACCATCACCACATTCGCCAACCAAGTAGTGTAGTGGACTTCCCGAATAAATCCGGCATCAAGTAACTTAGCAACCTCCATTTCAACTGCAAGCTTTCTTTCTGTCCCCATCTTCCTTTTACGCTGCGCAATTGGTTTAGCCTCGGCACAGATTGATAATTTATGACACATGACCTTGGGATCCACTCCAGGCATGTCGGAAGGCGTCCATGCGAAAAGATCTTTATTTTCCATTATAACCCTACATAGAGCCGAACGGTGTTCCTCATTCATATCGGCACCGATGTACGTAACCTGTTCAGGATATGCACCTATCTGGAAATGTACTTTTGACTCTACTGGCTCCACACGCTCTTCGTTGTTCATTCTCGGATCAAGATCCCACACATGCTGCTCTACTAATGCCGAAACATTCACGTCGTATGTTCTTTTTGATTTCGATTTCCTTTCTTCTATCGGTTCAACACGTAGACTGGCATAATAACTCCCTAGCAGCCTTTTGATCGGCATGAATTGTAATTACATTTCCTTTGTCAGACGGAAACTTCATTGCCAAATGTGGCGTTGAGATAATGGCCCCTAATGCATTTAAAGATGGTCTACCGAGGAGAATATTATACGAAGTGTTAGCATCAACCACAATATACTTCACTTGAACCTCCCTACTTTCCTTTTCATCAAAACAAAATCGTGTGAAAAGTTTTATATATCCCCTGGTACTGACTCTTTCTCCTGCAAAGCCGACCAACGGATCATCATAAGGGAGCAATTCTTTTTCAGAAATACCCAACTGCTTGAATGTGTTCCAATATAATATATCCGCCGAACTGCCCTGGTCGATCAATGTTTTCTTGACGATGCAATTGTGTATTTCTACACTGATAACCATCGGGTCGTCCTACTTTGGATCAATGCCTTTGAAGTCAGCATCGGTGAATGTTATTGTTGGTAACCGCCGAGAAGGCTGTCCATGAATGGAGTTTACCGATCGGATGGCTCGAAGATGCCTCTTCTGAGCCGAAGAAGTTGTGCCTCCACCCGCAAATCCCCCTGTAATAGTATTAATGACTCTCCTATGCGAAGGTATCGAGTCATCTTTTCGTTCGCGCGATCTACTTCTTTCACGCCGAGCTCTATCAGAGGTTTTATCGGAACGGTCTTGCCTATACCGATCTTGATATTTGGGTTGATATCTGCGAGTTTGGGACGAACCTGACCTGTCCACAAAGTTATGCAACTTACCCTGCTTAATCAAATCTTCAATTTTGTCTTTAAGGGCCGCACATTCATCAGTTGAGTGTCCGCGATTACGATGATATCGGCAAGATTTACTAGTATCGGCCCGTGGTGGAGTGGATGCTCCCTTCGGAATTGTTAACACCTCGGAAGCCAAAGCTTGTTCAAGTACTACCGAACGACTAGTGTTGAGTGGAGTGTATTGAGTGTATTTTGGACCTCGACTAGGGCGATCCCGAAGAGATATCTCCTTCCCTCGTCCCCTGTATGGTTGTTTTATCTGCTTGTCTACCTTGCCAGAAGATTCAGCTCGGGCCTGACTACGATATTCTGCCAATTCCTCCATCTGCATGTATTTATCAGCCCTTCTTCTTAAATCATTCATGTCCAAAGGAGGTTTTTTACAGATACTATTAACGAACGGTCCTGGTTTTAATGCGGTTGTGAGATGATGCAATGCAACAGCAGGATTAAGATCTCGAATTTCCAACGCAGCCTTATTAAACCGATCCATAAATGTCCGAAGAGACTCCTTCTTATCCTGCCTGATACCAACCAGAGACAAAGATGTTAGACTATGAGGGCGACTTGTCGCAAATTGAATAGTAAATTGTGAAGACAATGTGTTGAACGAGTCAATGGAATTGGGTGGGAGACGAGTGAACCAACTGAGAGCTCTGCCCTTAAGAGACGTGGGAAAAATCCTACACAACGCAGCATCATCTGTTGTACTCAAGGTTACCTGTGTCAGAAAAACATCTAAATGCTCATCAGGATCAGTAGTACCATCATATTTGTCAATGGGCAAAGCCTTCCAATTATCCATTAAAGGGAGTTGCATAATGGAAGGGGTAAAAGGGTGCCGGTGTGATCCGACAGTGGTCATATCTGCAGGACGACCCACAGTGGGTAAAGCTGAAGGAAACTTTTCAGGGGCTACTGCCGAAGCATGTTGAGTTTGTGTGTTAGTAACATGAGTAGGTTTCCATGTTGTATCCTGACTTTTCAACGCTTCATTCTCAGCCCTCAAGGCCGAAAGCTCTCTTGCATCCTTCTCTCTTTGTTGTTTCATTAGTTCCATTTCTTGTTTCAGCAAACGCACTGTTTCAGAAAGATCAGTTTCATCCACCACTTCCACATGCTCCTCAATGGGACGATCTAGCGTGTTTGTTCTCCTAGTTATCGGCATCGTTCTTCTCAACAGACTTCCAACCAACTTCGTTCGGCCCCACGGTGGGCGCCAAATGTACCTGTATAAGGATACACCAAATAGTCTTCCTGTATTCTGAAGGCTGAACGAACGCTCCAATCTAATATGAGTGAAAGGGTTTGTACCTGCAAAAGGCACTCCAACGCTCAAGTCAGCACGGGCACAGAAATCTAGGGTAATTAATGAACAGTGACGTTACCTTTTGACCTGAGCTATTTATACTGACATTCGTGGGCCCTGGACCTTATGGGCCCTGTAAAAACTTACCATACTAGGTAATACTTTCTTAATCAGCTCATTAACCTTTAATGGTTTATTAACGATAACTAATAGAGATGAGCCGAACCAGGTAATTGATTGGCAATCGGCCACCTGATTCGGCCTTTCGGCGACCGATAAGAAGGTGGCTAAACACCCCTACCTGTACACCACCAAAAAGTACATCTAAAATTCTTTCAAATAAAAAATAAAATATAGCATTACAGTAACTATTGTGTCCTGTGCAAAACTTCCAGCCCTGAAACACAATATTGGCTGCTGGTATAAACTCATAACTGTATACAGTTTGGCTATCCCAAAGGCAATTACCGCAACTACGAGATAGCATTGCCGAAGCATTAGTTCTAACGAATTTCAGCAGGAAAAGAATGGCTGAAGCAATGAGTCCTAAGTTCACTGTCATTGACTATTGAGGTTTCTTTTGTTTGTCGCGGTTTTCCTCGGTAATTGTTTGAAACTCTTTCTCACTAGCTGCAATTAGGCGCTTGACAATGTCATATGTAGTAAGCCTGATGCTGTAGAGATAACCAAGAACTGTATAAGGTAGTGGTCATAATCTACTTCTAATTAAAATACATGATCGTGTTTATCTCTACATATATCATAGTTGTGCATGTTTAATAGCATGGCGGAAGCAGAAATCTCAAATAAATAAACTAATTTTAGATAGAATTTATGTTCCAGCAAACGTACCGTGTGTGACAAGACTGGAGTTAAGAATCAACAATAGTGGAATTTCATAGGCACAGTGCAAAGATTTGAAAACATAACTAGAAATAGAAGACCCAAGTACCTGCTATTTGGTAGGTTTTTCAAAGCATTGGGCACGAATCCGCGATACAAGCCAATAATCCCATCCCTTGCAACAATACCTGCATCAATAAAATAATTAATTTGGCAATGGTACAAAACTACTGAAACATTAAAGCTTAAAAAATACCATCATTTAAATAAATCCCCAAAAATAAAACCACCTTGGGAGTACAAAATTAAAGTTTTCTTTTTTATTTTTCCCATAGCGTTGACCACTTGATTGAAACCACTGTTTGCGTTTATCTGTTAGTAGCCAGTGTACATGCCTTTATTACAACTTACAATCACTTCACTAATCACTAATGAATTCCTTTTCCTTATGTTTGGTAGGATGAATTTGACTTACTAAAGAATAAAGATGGGTTATTACTGATTATTCTGCATGTTAGCTTAAAGGAATATCACAATTCCTGCAGCAATAGTGACAATTATTTTATATATTCGTTTATAATGTCTGCACAAATATATGTTAGTGACCAAAACATGCTGATGCTGAAATCCTAACCTGGAATGGCATCTAATACCGTCTTATAAGGTGTACCCTTCAATTGCATCTGTCTTCGCACTGTGTCCAGAGGATAGCATGTAAGTGTGGCAAGAGATGCTGAAAGCACGGCAGTGAGTAGAGATGTTTCAGTTCTCTTTTGATATTTCTCTGGCAACGACTTCTTTAATCTATTGTCCATGGAAAGTCAGAATATTTCAATTTCAATGTGTACCCAATATGAAATGTTCTTAAAAGATAAAATATTACTAATGAACTCACAAATCAAAAACACAAAAGTTCACTGCAATATATGGAGCTATTCCAATCAGAGAAGGCCCAAGGCCATAGTAAAAAGACGCAAATCCTTCCTCTCTTAGCATGCTCAACGCAACCTAGAAAAAGCCAGAATATGGTTCATTAACAGAGGAAGATCTAGTGAAAATAATTCAGCAGGCTAATTTATATACCTGTGACATTGTTCGGTAACCAGGTTCAACAGCTAATCGTAATCTCAGGACATCTAATGGGTAGGTTATCTACATGAACAAATACAAAGTTAGATACATAGATTGAAATTAGGATATGAGAAATATATAAAAAGATAAATAAGAAATTGCTCATTTGTGTTACTTAAACACAAGGCTTAATCCGTGGCAACCAATAATTAACATCTTGAAAGCAACTTTAAATCATCCAAGGGCATCACAATAATTACTCACAAAAGTTGATGTCATTCCAGCAAAAGCACCTGCTGCAAGTCTTCCCACAACAGAGAGCTCACCATCCTTTCCCTTGAATAGTTTCTATAAAACCAAAAGTAAAACTTAGACATGAACATGCAAATATTGGGGATAATAAATTTGTAAAAGATAATAAACAGCTAACCTTGTAAATTTCATAAGCAAAAAGCTGGACAGCACTATAAGGTATAACCCGAATCACCTGGAACATTAAAAGTAGAAACACTAAAACAAATGAAAAGACTGGTCAACTTATTAAGGAGATAAACATACAGAAATACCAATTACCAATAAATTCGTTCCTAATTATAGAGACCTGGGGGAGGTTGCCCTTCCAATAACCTTTAATGCCTTCTTCCTTCCCAATTACAGTTATGGCCTGTAAATCATGTCAACATAAGTCCCAACACAAATTTCATAGTCAATTTTCTAATCATTCACCAGAGAGCTCAATGATCATCAAAGAAATGGGGGAAACTGCTAAACTATGCATTTAGGACGTGATATATAAATCCTTAATCATAGAAGATAATTAATCATAGACATTTGACAAAGCTATACATTGGCTATCAACTTCCTAACACAACCCCCATCTTATTATTCAGGCTTGGGACCAGCTATGCAAATATTTGCAACAAAGCACAACACAGGAAGATAATTAATTAGTAACATAAGAAAACCTTCTATCATTTACTTGGAAATCTCTCTCACAATTTGACAATTTTCTATCTAATAAATAGCTACAGTTGAAATTACAAGGTTTCAAAGGAAAAGGAGAGAAAAAAAAAACTGATTAATTTTAAATGTCATCATGTCTGATTTGTTACAAATGCTCATATCTAAGCGAGGCCAAGTACTGTTGTCGCATAACTAGTACAAACCTAATCAGTAAGACATAACCCTTTGCAAAACAATAACAATCCTAATTTATTCCACCAGCTACAACTATCATGCTACAATTTTAAGGGAAAACAGCCAAACAATTCCCCAAAGATTATCAATCATTATAAAAAAAAAATTAAACAGAGATTTTATTAAGCATTTAAAAACACTACAATCACAAAACCACACTGTCCCACTTCCAACAGTGAACTTCCACAAATCATTAACACATACAATATTTTATAAACAGTGGTCAAGAATAAGCCAGCTACTCCACACTCTGCTCTCAAAATTTCCTATACAAATCTCAAAAGATAGGCAACAAAATAAACAAGAAGGTGACATTCAGTTATCATTTTCATTTTCATTTCATTTCATGTTTTCTAATTTGCACGAGAACAACATTTCATTGTCGAGTTATTACTTTTTCAGAAAATAATAACTAAATGACCACCAAAATAATCAATACTGTATTTGTTTTTCTTCTAAACGAGACCTGGCCCCATTCTCCATACCAAGAGAAGCACCAATATATAAAATCAAAACACGATACACGATGAACCTAGACGTAATTTTAAATTATATAACAAATACACACGCATTATAGAATTCAACCATAGCGACATAAATTAAACAGAAGCAAACACCGCAAAAGAAGTTGCCATTACTCAATCATACCTCAACGAGACCAATCGCCTTCTTCGCACTTTCTTGCCCAACTCGCACGCCGTGAGTCTGCAAATACGCAATGTCGTTTTCACCGAACTTTAAGTCTTCACAATAGTATTAATAATAACAGCAACAACAACAAACGGCGACACCGAAAACGAAACGAAACGAAACGAGAGCGCACCTGCATGAGGAGCTTGATGCGGTCGAGGGGGGCGGTGACGCTTTTGGCGGCGGCGCCGGCGATGGCGCCGGCGAGGAACAGAGCGGCGTCTTTGGGGATCAATGCGACCACCGCGAGCGGGTGGCGGAGATACTGAGACGGCGTGGGCGCGAATTGTTTGTCGAATTTGGTTTGAGCGACGGAGACGCTGGCGAATTTGCAGCGCGTGAGAGTGGGAGTGCGGGGTGCGAGGGCGAGGACGGCGTCGTTTCGGAGGGTGAGGGGAACGACGTCGTTGAGGGAGGAGTTGGGGATTGGGATGGCGCGCCACGTCAGCGTGGCTCTCTCCTGGGATTGTGTCATGTTGGGAAATTGGAAGTGTCGGAGGATAAGTTGGTTGGTGCAGAGGCCACAGAGAGAGAAAGAAAGAGGTTGGAGCCAATTTATAGTACTACGTAAGTATGAAACTATGAATCAAAGAAGAAAGACAGAAAAAGGATCGTTATTTTTATTTTTATTTTTTTATCCATTTTTTTTTCCTATTAATTTATGTATTTTTTTTTTCCGTTTTATACCTTTTTTTAATGCTCTCTCCGATCCACAGTTGGATCCTCTGCAGCTGTACTGACTCTTCAGTAGTGATCTTGGCCCCTGTAGATTAACAATTAAAGATTTTTTTTTTTATAAGATGTAAATTAAAAGGATTGTTTGGTAAAATGACTCTTGCATTAATTATTTATAAAATACTCTTTACTAAATTCATTTTTTATAATTTAATAATAAGTACTACTTGAAGGAGTAAATTTTGTATTAATATTATAATTAATTTAAAAGTATTTTTTTTAATAAATTTAATCTTATTAATGATACTACTTCTATTCTTATTTTTAAAGTTCACTTAAAATAATCATTTGTTCTTTCATATAAGAAACCATTTATATATAGTATTTAATGTACTAATTATTTTTAGACTATAATTTTAATAATGTATTTGATAAAACTAAAAGACAAAAAAATTGATGGTCCGTGAAAGAAGAAGTCAATTTTTTTTAGTTGTTATATTAGACTGATAATCCACTACGTCATAATATTGATGTAATGCATATAAAAAAAACTATTTTGATAATATTATTGAGATTTTATTAGATATCGCAAGCAAGACAAAGGATATATTAAGGCCCGTTATGATTTGCAAGACATGGGCATTAGAAAGAATCTTCATCCAATTGATATTAGTTGAGGTGATGCAATGTTTGTAAAAGCATGTTTCTCAATGACTTTGGAAGAGAAGTCTACTTTTTATGGTGTTTTGAAGGGTTGTAAGTTACCAAATGGTAGTGCATCAAACATTTCAATATGTGTGCACATTATGAAAAGAAAATATCTAGTTATAATAGTCATGATGCACATTTCATGCTACATTACTTACTACAAGTAGCAATAAGAAGCACAATGCCAAATGTAGTAGCTCATCCTCTAATTCGTCTTGGTTTTTTTTTTTTCCGTCCTTTATGCCAAAAAGTTATCCAAGTCCATGAGCTAGATTACTTACAAGTAAAGATTGTAGAAATACTTTGTCAACTGGAGATGATTTTTCCTCCTAGCTTTTTTGACATAATGGTTCACTTACCTATTCATCTTTCCAATGAGGTTAGATTGGGTGGCTCGATTCAGTTTCGGTGGATGTATCCCATAGAAAGATTTTTATGTAAGCTCAAGAGTTATGTTCGCAATAGAAGTCAGCTAGAAGGTTCTATTGCCAAGGGCTATTTGGCTGAAGAGACATTGACTCTTTGCTCAAGATTTTTACATAAAAATGTGGAGACAAGCTTGAATAGAAAGAATCGAAATTATGACCTCAATGATTCATGTGAAGTAGATGCAGCTGATCATTTCACAAGTATTGGTTATCTTTAAGGGGAGAAGAAAAATGGGGAATCATTTGCTTTGGACTTTCAATCTTTAGCCCAAGCCCATTGATACATCTTATTCAATTGCAAAGAAGTTCAAATCTATATCTGGTGTGAGAAATTCTCACTTTCCATCTATTGATTATCACTAAATTATTTCATTTTATTTTTATACTAACAAATAACATTGTTGTCATTGCAGAGAGTATGATGATAGTATTAATAGTCACACTAAAAAACAGAAGTGGGCTAAGGCAAAAGTGCATAGATAAGATTTTAGTGAATGGTTTAGAAATCGGGCCATGAAAAATGATGTGCCATTTCAGCTTAAAGAATTGTCAAAAGGACCAAATACTATTGCAAATAGGTTTTAAGGCTAACTCATTAACATATATAGATTCCACACTATGAAATGAGATGCAAGATGGAAAACTCAAAATTCTAGTGTGACATTGGTTTCGTTAACTCCTAGTTTTGCAAGCTCTAAGGATGAAAATCCCAAGATAGAGCCTATCTCTTATTATGGATTAATTACTGATATCATTTAGTTAGAATATTATGGCCACTTCAATTTTGTGTTGTTTAGGTGTGATTGATTTGAGGTTGAAGAAGACAAATAAGGACTTATTTGTGTACACTTCAACAAAAGATGTTACCAAGATGATCATTTTGTGCTAGCTTCTCAAGTCCACCAATGTTTTTATGTCAAAAATCCTTTTAATGAAAACATGCATTATGTTATGAAAACAATGCCATAAAATGTATTTAACATGAGTTAACATGAGTGACCAGTTGGAGAATCAATCCAATCCTCAAGTAGTGAATCTGCTGAACAAGCTTTTCAATCAATCTTTGGTAAAGAAAAACCTAGTAGAGTTCGATGTCTAGGAAGAATGATCACACCAAGTATTTTAAATAAAAATGAAGAAATTGTTGCTTTAAAGAAACAACATTTTGTTGAGATAGGTTCAATGGCTAAGATAGTTCAAGGACTACAATGTCTTATAAGATGCTTGCTAAAGGAAATTAATCCAGAATTGGATGACCAAGCTTTGGATAGTATAATGAAGAATGCTATAAGCAATGAAAATAGTGTAGCACCTCCTTCTTCTATCTCAACCCATATTCTTGGTCATGATAAGGTATAATTTATGCCTTTGTCAGGGGTAAATTATATTTTAGTTCATTCCTCTGCATATACCAAACTAGTTATGGAAGTTTTCTTGTGTATAACTAGCTTTAACTTATGTTAATTCACTACTAGAAAAATTAATATTTGTGACGAATTTTGGAACCCGGAGGATTGTATGCTGGGTAGTGGGATTGACCCCTAATCCTGTGTTTATTGTATGTCATATTTTTCTTGTATGTTCCAATTACTTAATTAATATGCGTGTATGAATAGAAACTTTGTTTAGGCTATGATTGTGGAATTTGGTGCTCCTATGGGTTCCTACGGGAAACCCTAAGGGAGTGTATTGGTGCTTGTATGAGTAAATTAATTGTGATAATAATTATATACGTGAATTGTCTTATTTTAAATGTTTATTGCATAAATTGGAA